CGCCCAGGCCGGCCACGGCCCCCCGCCCGCCGCCCCAGGCCCCGCCGCCGCCCACGCCCCGAACTACGCCCTGGCCGTCCTGCGCTATCACTTGGCCTGCGGCCCGCCAAACGGGGAGGAGGAGCCCGGGGAGTTCGACCCCGCCCCGCGTGTGATTCGCGGAATGCGGGGGGAGGTCCGGGCGTTGCAGGGCCTCGGCGTCGACCCGGAGAAGGTCCCGTGGGGGCTGGCGGAAGTCCTGCCCACGGGCTGCGTTTTGCTCGACCTGGGCTTGCGATTGCTGTTCGAGGACCTCCCACCGGTCGATCGCGGCGAGGTCGGGGAGGGGCTCGCCCGCGAGATGGATCGAATCCACCGCATGCTGGTCCAGGAGGACGCGGCATTTCTCGAATACTTTGATATGGATCTAACGGCGTCCTCGGTGGATACGAAGGGGGAGATCGGGCTGTATGATAATCGCGTTCTCGATCGCGTGCTTCGCGAGACGAACCAACCCCCACCCCCTCTAAACGCTTCGCATTCCAAATGGTCCATCTATTCGGACGACCGTTCATTTTCCAACCGAACCCCCTCTGGGGACCTCTCGACCCCTCTGATCGGGATAGGGTTGAATTCAGACGGTTATTTAAGTAAAATGCTCGCGGCGTGTGATATGCTGTCCTCGGTGTTTGCTTCATTAGATACGAAAAGGGAAACAGACTTTTCATCTTTGGACGATGTGGAAAGCTTTCACGCCATCTTGCCGCGTATGCGGCGCGCATTGCGAGTCGTGATTGGACGTCGTTATATCATGGCCCCTCATCCCTACAACTGGAGCGAGCTCGATCTTCACCGGGCCTATCCTTTTCTGGAGCCTCTCACCATATCGTTATCTATTCGAAAACGATTTGTGGTGCTTGTGGTCGGACCACCAGACCAAACAAACGAATCCGATTCTAGAAGACCTGCAATGGTGGGCACCAATAGTTTTTTGACTCTCGCGATGCTGTTTCCTGGGTTAACCCCCTCCATTTTGTACGCGGAGGAGCCCCCTAGCGATCCACAAACGACGACTCGCGCTCCTTCTAGGATTTACTTTCCCTGTAAACAGCAAGGGATTCATCAGAACCACGACACCTATCTTAGGCTCACTAGCGGAGATGTTAGTAAAATAAAAGAACTCACCACAAATTATGCGCATCAACGTGTAGTTCTGGGACTTGTTTGCACCGAAAACGCCACCGTGGCGGATGTATTTCCCTTGGAAGACTGGTATCACAAAGTATTCCCACTCGTCTTACGTGCGTAAAGAAGTTCAAACCCAAGCGCTGTCCGGTAAAGCGCAAACGGTTCTAACGGGTTTCCCTAGTAAAGAAAATGTCTATCGGTATGCCATTTATGTTCGAATAATGATTATTGCTCCCCTATTTACCGCTCCCCTTTCGTTCCAACCTCTATTATTGCAAAAATAGCTCTAAATTGATATATATAGAGAGAGAGTTGTGTCCGCCCGGCCTTCCTTTCTGCGGGCGATGCTACTTCAAAGATTCAGTGCGTGTCGACTCCGACGGCTGGCCCTCACGTCCATAGGGTGGCATCCAGTCCCCATGTGGGGAAGTGCGCGCGGGGAAAGCACCCATCCCGGGGGCCTTTCTTCCCCACAGCTCGTCAAGGAGGACGCCCAGACATTCTCGTCAAACTTCCACAGCGAACCCCCCCACGAGGACGAGGAATTCGATGAATTAGAGGCGGGGTCGCAGGAAGTGCATGATTTGTGCTTTGCGATCATCGGATTTCTCCGCCGCGCCGACCCCGCGGCCTCGGATTGCCTTTTCGAGCGCCGCACCAAACGCCGATTTCGCGAGCC